TCTCTCTTCTATCCATCTCTCTTCTATCCATCTCTCTCCTATCCATCTCTCTCCTATCCATCTTTCTCCTATCCATCTCTCTTTTATCCATCTCTCTCCTATCCATCTCTCTCCTATCCATCTCTCTTCTATCCATCCCTCTCCTATCCATCTCTCTCCTATCCATCTCTCTTCTATCCATCTCTCTTCTATCCATCTCTCTCCTATCCATCCCTTTCCTATCCATCTCTCCTATCCATCCCTCTCCTATCTATCTCTATTCTATCCATCTCTCTCCTATCCATTTCTCTTTTGTCCATCCTTCTTCTACCCATCCTTCTTCTATCCATCCCTCTCCTATCCATCTCTCTCCTATCCATCCCTCTCCTATTCATCTCTTTTATATCCATCTCACTCCTATCTATCCCTCTCTTATCCATCTTTCTCCTATCCATCCCTCTCCTATCCATCTCTCTTCTATCCATCTCACTCCTATCCATCCCTCTCTTATCCATCTTTCTCCTATCCATCCCTTTCCTATCGCTCTCTTTACAATCTTTAAATCTCTCTTATCTATCCCTCTCCTGTCGGTCTCTTTACAATCCTTAAATCTCTCTTATCCATCCCTCTCCTATTTATCCTTTTCCTGCCACTATTAGGTGGACCTATATGCTACAATGAGAACCATTTTGTACTCGAGAAATCTAATCACCAGGGGAACCCTACTCCCACCAGGAGAACCCTACTCACACTAGGAGAAAGCTACTCTCACCAGGAGAACCCTAATCACACTAGGAGAAACCTACTCAAGCCAAGAGAACCCTACTCCCACCAGGAGAACCCTACTCACACCAGGAGAACCCTACTCACACTAGAAGAAACCTACTCAAACCAGGAGAACCCTACTCACACCAGGAGAACCCTACTCACACTAGGAGAACCCTACTCCCACCAGGAGAACCCTACTCACACTGGGAGAAACCTACTCACACCAGGAGAACCTTACTCCCACCAGGAGAACCCTGCTCGCTGCTCCCACCAGGAGAATCCTACTCACACCAGAAGAACCCGGTCAAACTAAAAATACGCCACCTTATAAAAATGCTACACTATAAAAACGCTACCTTACAAAAACGCTACATAGGCTATCTTCGCTACAAGTTTATTGTCTGTTTCAGTTTGTGTATAAGATTTGAATAATTTAAAAGTTCATAACTTATATATATTTAAAAATTCTCATAGTCGTAAATTGAAAAATTACAAGTGTATCACAAATTATTACATCTATTTCTTTAATGAACAATTAATCATATTTTTATAATGTTGAAGAATTAATTTAACGATTAGAATAATTCAAAAGTTCATAATTATATAGATATATATTTAAAAATTCTCGTAGTCGTAAATTGAAAAATATACAAGTGTATCACAAATTTTCAAATTCATTCATTCTTGAATGAGCAATTAGTTCTAGTTTTATGACATATACATATATATATAAATATATTTAACCCTATCTCTGCTGGAGTACTTGAAAACCAGGATATGCTGGGGGGGGGGGGGGG